GCTTGGCAACCACTTGGGCCTTGCGACTTATCTGTTGTTGCTGACATCGTTCGGGTTGAGTTCAAATCTGGAGTTGCAGGAGTTCCCAATTGGCTCTTGTTGTTGGGTGTTCTGCACGCCCCTTTGGAGGTTTGGTTTTGTGGTGTCCCATCGTCAATTTCCATAGACCCAACACAAGCTGGCTCCGATCCTGTCTGCCCAGTCCCAAGACATTGGGAGGCTGGGGCTTGATCTACTTTGCTCCGAGATCTGACAGCGCCCTCACTTGTTCTGATGATGCGCAGTAAGTCTCCCGATACGATACCACAGTGAGACAAGGGGGTGTCCGGCTCACTCACCAGTGCTTCTTGGCCATTGAGACTCAATTCAAAGCTCCCCACATCTTGACTGCAAAGGATTCATAAAAAAAACAAAAAGGTTAAAACTGGCCCAGCATATATTTCCTTAAAAACAAATCGACTGTGCTCAAATTAAATTGATCCCCGTTTTCCTGGCATGCCTGGAGGCCGCCATCTTGAATTCAAGATGGCGGCCTCCAGCACGACGAGGATCGGTTTCAAATTGAAGGTGAAATTTCTCTTTTCTTCCCAAAGGTATGTGAACCTAACCACCGACATTTGTTTTTTCACTTCCCACTGAAGCCTAGGGGCGCATCAGGCAGTTTGAGGACTGTTTTGGGGGTGAAATCTGAAGATTTTAATAGGGGGTACGAGTGAAAATGGTCAAAAAAGGTTATTGGTATTAATGCCATGTACTCTAAGAGTAAGATCCTAGGACCCTACTATTGCCAGACCATCTCCAAATGTTAAAAGAGGCGATTCGTAGAGTCCTAGTTACTCGGACTAATTTTGATGTACATTTGTGTACTTAGTAGTAGGAGTTTCGTAGTTAGTCAATAAATTCTTTGGTGATGCTGTCTATGGGGCTCCGGGAGCAGGGGTAACATAACAACCAACAACATAAGCCTAATGTAGCATGGTTAGCTAGTACGTAGCTCCACTTGTGTGGCCTTGGTACTGCTGCGCTGTACGTTAGGCCACACGTCTGCTTTCCCGACTTACTGAGGAGTTTAGTCCGAAACTGGCGCATGTGGACTAAAATAAAAAAAAGGTTTCCAAAATTCTCGAAAATTTTAAAGAAAGATAACCTAATCTACTAGGAGGGCAAAAAATGAGAAATCATAGGCCTACAATACAACCGTATGCAGTGGTATGTAAACAAATGCCCCAAAAATGTGCGCCAGTGTTTGGACTAAACTCCTCAGTAAGTTGGAAAACCAGACGTGAGCCCGAACCTACAGCGCAGCAATAGTATTGAGGTCACACGAGTGGGGTTAGCTTACCCCTAGAACTATGGGTATTACACGTAATACCCATAGTTCTAGGGGTAGGGCTAGCTGGCTGGTTAGCATGGTTAGGGTAATCCTTATCTTGGCGATCGTGTAGTGTAGGGCCCGGTTCCTATAACTTATAAGGGAACAAAATCCACTTTAAAATTATTAGACCCACCAAAGTAGTTGGTGACATTCTCAATAAACAGGTATGTCATACATGTAGATACAGGGCAGGGTTTTGATTTTTTGAGGGAAATTTGGGGGTAAAATGAGGATGACAGCGCGGCGACAACACGCAACCCGAAAATAAAGATGGTGATCACTGCGCGATGTACCGTGAGCATGCACGGCGCGCTGAATCGCAAGGCACAAACCGCGCAGGAAAATCATGATTTTTACCCCAAGAAATTGTTCAAAATTGCAAAACGGGTGTCGTTAGAATTGAGAAAAGTCTGCTTTTGATAGTAGAGGTGATTTTTGAGCAATAAAGAACATTTTTGACTCTAATTTGATCAAAACAAAACAGGGGCCCTACACTTCATGATCGCCCTTATCTTTTTAAGGACACAGGTCTCTATTTTCACAAGATCTGTTCAAAACTGACTTTGCAGATGACTGTCCAGTACCAAAATGACTTTTGCAGTCTTTTTTCTGCAGAAAAACTCATGTTAGTTGTAATTCTGAAAGCACTTTCAAAGAAAAGACTTTCCCACCTTTTTTTTTTGCAGTTCATCATCTTGCTTTTTCTATCATCTGTTTGCCATTTTCGTCTTTAACCCCTTTTATCAAAGCCCTGCCCTCTTTCTACAAAATTAAACCTGCTGATATTCCAGAATGTGTCAGTGCAGCAACTCCGTCATTGTCAACTGTGCAAATGTGTCAAGAAGTATCAGAATGTCGCTTTTAAGTGTCATTCAGTCAGCTGTTTTGGTGAGTCTTTTATTTTATTTTAACCATACAGGGGCCTAGGGCATGTAGGGCCTAGGAACGGGGTCCTAAAGGATTAGCATGGTTAGCCTAGGCCTAGCCCCACTTGTGTGGCCGTCGGTATGCTGCGCTGAACCTTTGGCCACACACCGTGGTACCGCGCGCTACTGAGGACGAAGTTTTCATAAAAATTCAGGGCAGTTTCTTACATTCTCAGTTTCTTACTTTCTTATGGTTGTATTCTATGATGTCTCACCTGTCACTTCTGGGTAGACCCGTGAACGTGGCTTGTAAACTACGCCACGTTCTTATGTCATTTCGAACCTGGCGAACGTGTCCCTCTGACTCCCTCCGTTACACACACTGAACGTTATTTTGCCCATGTAATAAGTACTCACATATGAAGCTGTCTTGAATTCTATTTGTACGTCAAAACTTGCATTTGACGACAATTGAGGAAAATTCTGGCCCCGGTTCATGAAGTCCGTTCGCTACTGCTAGCTGCCATTTTCTCCCAACTGCCGCATGCGCATTGCGTTTTATTTTCGTATGATTCGACGGCTGTTTACTGTCGCAGCTAAAACAGACATCGTTTTAGACAAGTTTCAAGTCCTTTCCTCTCTCACCGCACCGCACGCGGTCGCACGTGCGCCCGCGTGTGTGTGCACACACGTACTGTACACGAGATAAGCCGAGCAGCCAATCGTCTGCGGGTTTTTTTTTTTCGGGGTTGCGACATGAAACAGCCGTCAATCTGTCCAAGCGACTCAGACGCGTCCGGGGTTATTTGTCAGGGTCAGGTTAAAATCTAATTTCTACACGTTCGTATGGGTCTTTACTGATGGGCAAATTTCGTCGAAATTACACAGCCGAAACAATCGGACGGGCAAATTTAGATTTCTAGGTGAGTACTCAACACCCATACGGAATTATGTATGTCGGATCGATTTCGCCAGGTTCGAAATGAAACAAGAACGTGGCGTTGTATACAACGCCACGTTCACGGGTCTAACTTCTGGGATGCTTAGGTCTAATGATGTTCCATTTTCCGAGATATTCTTCAATCTTTCTGGAGTCCATATGCACTCGTGAAACGTCTGGTGATGGCAGCCATTTTGAATGGGACAAGAGATGACCTCAAGCTGTGACGTCGCGTGTATGCAAATTGCTTGTCGAGCGCGCGAGGGCGCGAGTTGCAAATGCGACGGCTGTTTCCTGTACCATGCATTTATCGTCAGGGGGCCACGTGCACCGATCTCTATTCAGGATCTACGGCACAGAAAACAGCCGTCGCATTTGCAACTCGCGCCCTCGCGCGCTCGACAAGCAATTTGCATAAATGCGACGTCACAGCTTGAGGTCATCTCTTGTCACATTCAAAATGGCTGCCACCACCAGACGTTTCACGAGTGCATATGGGCTCCAGAAAGATTGAAGAATATCTCGGAAAATGGAACATCATTAGACCTAAGCATCCCAGAAGTGACAGGTGAGACATCATAGAATACAACCATAAGAAAGTAAGAAACTGAGAATGTAAGAAACTGCCCTGAATTTTTATGAAAACTTCGTCCTCAGTAGCGCGCGGTACCACGGTGTGTGGCCAAAGGTTCAGCGCAGCATACCGACGGCCACACTAGTGGGGCTAGCCTAGGCCAAGACCTTTTCGAAACGAAGTGGCTATCGTTACAGCAGCCGTTGTTTAGCGCCTTCTACGATACTTTTTTGATACGCACGCAGGTATATAATTATTTGTTTCCCCACGTTTTAGCGAGCAGTTCGACTGCCACTGACTGCTCAGTTGATGGTAGCGGGATTTTGCACCGCGAGGTTGCGGGTTCGCATTTCAGTTTTGCACTCGAATTTGTTTCCTTTTCTAACTTGAGACTTTGGAGGATTTTTTTTTAAAGGGAAATAAAAGTCCCAATTTCATAACGTTCATGACGTTCAAATTCACTTTTTTTCCTTCTAATTTTGTATTTTCTTCTCATGTTTTTATAAAAGTTGCAGCCTACCGACGACAGAAAATGGGAAATGCGTTACGGCTGCCGTAACAATAGCCACTGCGTTTTCGAAAACATTCAACTTTTTAGTTTTTTTTCAAGCGCAATTTACCCGAAAGCTTGAGCCACGGATTCTTTTACTTCTGCTACCGTAGGGTCGCCTTCAAAATCTACTTTTTCTGTTCGACCTCCTGATCTTACTCGTAACTTCATTTCTGGGCATTTATTTGTTCGAAAACCACGTCTTCTTTTCGTTGTTCTTTTCTACCAAGTACCCTACAGCATACGATTATAAAATTGGGGAAGGGCGCCTCTAGCGGTAGGTAGGTAAACGCGCGTTCGGCCGGCCGGCCGGCCAGCCGGCCGGCTTTTCGTATAGACCCGGCCGAATTTTTCATAGGCCCCGAATTTTTCGTAGGCCCAAAGCACATTGCCTACTGTACCTATTGGGTAAACTAGGCCTGGGGAGAATTTGAAAATTGTCAGTTTTTTTCTTTTCAATTTTCTTTTTATTCGAATCCCTCATTTGATCCGTGTCCAATGACGGTGTTCGTTTCACAGATAAGGATATTTGGTACAATGTTGACATTGGGAGTTCAAATGCTTGGACGTCATCAAACCGGATAAAAAAATAAAAATCTTAGGGCTATAAGAATATTTCTGCCAAGTTTGGTGCTTTGGACCAGCCTGGTCACGATTCCGACCATAATGCCATATGATTTCCTAGAGTTGACGTGATGACGTAAGTACCAGAACAGATGACTCTTCCCAAGCTAAAGGAGCTGAATTAGAATAAGACAAACAAACAAATTAAAGTTCCCCGTAACTATTTTACAGTAATGCCACCTGACTATAATGAATAGAGACGTTCTTATGAATAGAACAGCAAATTGGGAACAATCTCATACGTTTTAACTGTGCCATGTGTTTTGATAAGTATACATCGACGCCACTTACTAAGTATGTTGGATCACAGCAGGCATAACGGATTCCGAAGTGGAAGATTCAAAAGACCCGACACGCCCACTCTGAAGTCTTATAATCAAAATGGCGGTTAAGTGGAATTTTCGCTGTGCATGCTGGGGGTTCATCTCGTCGCTCCTAGCTTCGGTCCTTCTCACCTATTGCTTTTCTCCTCAGTTTCATCTCGCCTTCCGAGTCATAGCAGGTGAGTTGTTGCTTTTATTGACAAAAAAAACCTTTTTAGGGTACTAAGTTACAACTTTCTAAATTGTATATGGAACCTATACCAAGACGTATTACGTGGGAGAAGACTGTGTCTCCATCTTATTTCAAACGAGACCCACTCTATGGGCTCATTTGCTATATCATAAAATAATTATGAAGAGAACAGAAATTTACGGATAGCTGGAATAACGACTATACAGCCAATGGTCTTATCAATATAGTTGCCTGAGCTGAGGGCCATACTTTAATATGTCCTCTTTGTACCAATCTCATCACTGACTGACCCACTGACTTACACACTCTCACGTATGGCTTAGCCTGGTTGTTTGCCGGTAAAGAGAGCCGGTCATTGCTCAATCCGACCAATTGTGTATGTACGCCACTGCATGAAAGACTTCCATCGCAGTGAATGGCCAATCTGAATCAACTAAATCCGTCCCGTTACCAGTTTTACCAGGCTGGCCAGACTGACTCCTATGAATCCATTTCATTGCATCAGGCGCTGCAGCAGTGCTGATTGGCATCTCATCTCTGAGTGCCTTCCACATCTCGACTCTACGATGCTCTGAGAGCCACACACTCATAACCCATGTCCTACAAGTGACACCAGGGTGAACGTCTAGCTACGCCCTCCATCTCGGCAAGGGCCACTTACATGTGGAAACGTCCGCGTCCGGTTTCTTATGGTGCTTTCTGCAGTTCATTTGGTTAAAGATATAGTCCATCATTTGTAATTTGTGCATTTTGTTCGTTTGAAAATTTGTGCATTTTGTTCGTTGAAGCAACAAAACGAACTACTAATTTAAATTTCCCACGATGCGTCTTAAGAAGCACCGTTGGAAAGGCCTTCTTTCGTTGATTACTTCAAAATGACAGCCAGAAGGAATAATTTCACAGGGAGTTTAGTCCCCTTACTATCTTTCAACCAAGTATGCCTTTCAACAATAATTACGCCAGTTATTTTTCGGATAGCTGCAAATAATGGACTTACCTTTAAGAACCACGTCGTCGGTCGTCTTTATCCTGGATGACCTTTGACTGGAACAACTACATGCACAAGAATGAAGTATTACATGCCTAGTTTGGCTGATTTAGTGTTGAATGACGTCACAGCACGCATAGTCTATGTACATTGTACACAATAAAGATGCGTCTTTGTACACGGCACGCCTACATTCCGTGAAAGAAAATCAGTCTAAATAATGACAATCTTACACTTCTTACTACTTTTTCATTTTAAGTCTCCTATTTCGATACGTTTTTTTTTTTTACATCAATACCGATACTTGAAATTGTTAACCTGTGGTAAAATCTGATTCAAAAGTTTTGAAGAGACAACGAAGCTGATACAATAATGATGTTTTCCATGAAGCAATTGAGTTTAAATCAGAATGTCAATGGTTTGCGTGTAATTTGTTAAATTGCAACTCAAACAGATAATTGTAAAGAAAAAAATATGTTTTGTGTGAGGTATTGAGCCCATGGTTTATTCTGGTAAGTTGGAAGCCGGGTATAAATAAGCTCGACCCTTGAGGGCGCACTTTAACTACTTTAAAAGGGAATGTTTGTTGGATTTAGTGCGGGGCATTTCTTAAATTTCCTACCAAGTTAAAAATGCAACTGCAACAAAGCCTAGAATCATTAGAATGCACTATACCAGTTCAAATTTTCCAGATAAAAGTTTAAAAATTTGAGAGAATTACTTGCGATGAGGTTTTGGCATTGCCAAATAATGATATTATGTTGTTTTTTTTTCATTATGAACTGAAAACTGTGACAGATTTATCTTGTGTGGTATCTTTTATTTATGAAGTCACATGCTCAATCGACTCTTAGAGCTGTTCAGAGTGTTCGTCCCTTGTTTGAAATATGTACTCAAACACTACGGATTTAACAACTTGAACCCTAAACACTAAATAGCACAAAGGTGACCTGCCATATCATAATGAGGAATATCCCCCACCTGCGACTCTTCAAGCTACGTAAATCATGTTAAAGCACAAATCATTGGCTTTTCAATGATACAAAATCTATTTATATAGCTAAATTTATTCCAAAGATATGCCGCAGGAACTTCAACAGTGTCCCGCCAAACTTCGCCAACCTCATTTTGTAAAAAAAAACGGCTTTGAAAAAAAAAAAACTAGATGTGGTTGTAACTGAACAACCACAGAGCTGTTCCCAACTTGTTTTTGATTGTCTATTGGATAGTAGAAAATAATGTAATGATTTTTGCAAAAATCTCTAACTTGTAAAATTGAAATTATTATCTTACATAATTGCACTTCCGGTAAAAACCGGAAGTAAAGGTCACGAGACCTTGACATATACATTTTCATTTATAACCCTTCCCGGTCTATATATTTACCAAGTTTCAGATCAATCGGTCAAATAGTTTTATAGTTAAAGGACTATAAAGATTGCCTCATTAAATATTCATGACGTCATAACATGAAAACATTAAACTGCCCATTAATAATAATGCTACATATTTATCCTTTGATGTTGCTTAATACTAATATAAGGTGTCAACCCAATTAAATGTCTAATTCATTAGATATGATAATTAGGGTCTTAAATTAACACTTCCGGTAACACCGGAAGTAGAGGTCACATGACCCGGATATACCAATATTCATGTGTAACACTTCCCAGTCTGTATACCTGCCAGGTTTGAGATCAATCGGTCAAATGGTTGTATAGTTATAGGACTGTAAAGATTGCCTCATTAAATATTCATGACATCATAACATAACAATAATTAAGTGCACAGTATAAAAAATAATGCAATATAATTATTTGTCAATATAGCTTCGTATCAATGTGAAGTTTCAACCCAATCAGATTAATAATTCATGAGATATGATATAGGGGTCTAAAATAACCACTTCCGGTAAAACCGGAAGTGAAGGTCATGTGACCTTGACTTATCAATTTTCATTTATAACACTTCCCTGTCTGTATACCTACCAAATTTGAGATCAATTGGTCAAATAGTTCTATAGTTATAAGGCTGTAAAAATTGAATCTATAAATAGATGTCACGTGACCCCTGATGACGTCACGATGACGAAAAGTTTCGGCATACATCTTTAAAATAGTTCCCAAAGTGGCTTGTAGAATAAAAACGTGTGATATATATTTGAAAATGCATGTGTCCAACTTCCCCTAAAGCAGATCAAAAATGACTGAGACAAGTCTACTTATAGGCGAATGGGGGCGCCATTCACTTTTTACGGTGTGCCGTTATATTTTTTTGGTGACGCGCAGCTGTCCTTATTTTGATCCCATAAAACTTAAGGCTCTGTGCCTTAAGTACAACTATTAAAGTTATGTACTGCCCTCTTTTGGCGAGAATGAAGGGACGTAATGTACATTGAACGACGTTTCAAAGCCACGTGTACGTGCTATACACATTGTGGAAGTCCTGTGCACGTTTTAAAGCTCTCTACCGCAACTTGGGCAAGGGAATTTTTTGCCGACGTCGCGTCAACTGTGTGAACAATTTGACAAGCTGGGAACTTGGCACTGTTGAGGCAAATGTTTATGCTATCATTTAATGGGCGATTCAAGATTATATCTGTACGGATTGATTTTTCAGGAATTTTCTAAGGAAAAAGGGCATTTTCATTATAACTTCCGGTCTGATGACGTCATACGCCTAAAACTTTGCACACGTCTTAAGTGGGTCAAGGTCATCATATACACCAATATTTAGGCGATTCCGACAACCTTCGCCACAGACATCTATTCAAAATACATTTTTGCTAATTTTCAACCTGTCGCTAGAGGGCGCTCGAAGATTGCATGACGTCATGGGTAGATGATTTGAAGAATACTATCAGTCAAGAGACTAACACCGTTAAAAGCAAGTTCATATCTATTACCACTTTTAAATAATAAGCCACTTCCGGTTTTGGCCTTTTTCGACCGGAAGCAAAGGTCACGTGATTTCACGCACACTGAATAAAATAAAGACCTTAACCTATTCTACCACTTGCCGGCAACAGAATGCTGCGGACGCGTACGGTTGATTTCTTATGCATTTTTAAATATTAAAATTGTCACAATTCAATTGCCTATAAATAAACACCGGATGACGTCATCATGACGTCATCATTACACAATGTTGTTTGAATTAGGGTCTTTGCTTGGACAAAGATTGGTGTAAATAAATAACTGGCAAAGAGTCGAAAATGCCCTCTAAAAATTGACATTTTTTTTAAAATTTCTGTGTACAAAGTCTATGGGAAAAATTAAATATTCAAAACTCTATAATAAATCACGTGATGACGTCAGCATGACGAAAAGTTTCGGCATACATCCTCAGATGATGGTTAATAACTATGCTGAGTTTAAAGTTGATCGGATTTAAAATAATTGCAAAAGTGGCTTGTAGAATAAAAACGTGTACAAAACCTATGGGAAAAGTGGAAAAAAAAAAAAAAAAAAAAAAAAAAAAAAAAAAAAAAAAAAAAGGAAAAAAAAAAACTTTAACGAAAACAATAGCTGTTCCCAATTGAAATTGGGAACAGCTAAAAATACGCATTGCGTCGCCAACGGCAGTGGAAAACGTGAAATTTACTTTCCAACTTTTGGGAAATTTTTTTTTACCAACAAAAAATACACAGTGTGAATCTTGGAAACCTTGGCTACTCAAAAATTAGAAGAAAAAAAACATTGATTTTGACATGATTTTTCTAGTGCATCCAACTTCAGGCGTTGATAACTCGGGACATGGTTTTGGGGGACATTCCTTATTTTGCCACAGTAGGTTAAAAGGGTTAAGTGGGTACCCAAACCTAAGGCACCTTATTACTGATCTCGTCTCGCCCTCCATCGACTTTGGTTCATTCTTGAAGGTTTGGACGAAGCGCCCTGCAAGTCATTTGTCGTTGGGTGATAAGGAGCTGAAGCTATGTGCCACACTCCATGGCGTTTCAGGATCCTT